ATGCTAAGACCGGGAACTTCTGCAAATAAAATCAGGATGGCTTTTCTAGTCTTCCCTCTCCTGGGTAACTCTCTTGAGTCCTTTAGACTTAAACATTTTCAGACTAAGATAAAATTTTAAAAGAACAACCTTGGACTTGCCCATCATTGGATAAGGCTGGGCCCATCAGCACCGTGAGAAAGCCCAGGCTTGACCACATGAGTCAGACCCAATCCCAAACAAGGGGAGCAAAGGGCACCCGAGTGGGATCGGGACTTGTGGATTCGGTCCTTGCATTGCTGTGACCTTCCCTGTGGTGTCCCTGCTCCTGTCCTCCACACGGGCCTGCGAACAGTGAGACCCTAGGCTTGAGGGCTGCTAAGGGACTTCATTTAAAATGCCTAGAGCGCTCCAGCCCTCACTGCACGTTTGCTGGTGGTGGTGGTGATGAGCAGAAGGAGGAAGAGGAAAGCTACAAAGGAGGAACCCTGCTTATCTTGTTGACACCCCATCCCCTGGAACTTAGACAGTTTCCAAATAGATGTCAAATAAGAGAATGAGGAACTGACAGAAAACGGGGTGTCTGGGAGTGGGAGAGTGGGGGCTACCTCTGCAAGCAGGTCATGCAAATGTACCTTTAGGAAGACACAGGGGATGTTCTCCGGGCCCAACGGGCCAATGTCACGACTTGGCTTTACCTTAAAACGCCAAAGACACCCACAGGGGACACCTGGCAACACTGAGACAAGTTTGATTGTCACAGCTGGTGTTTGTTTGGGGGTGGCATCTGTTAGGTAGAGGTCACGGATTCTGCTAAACACCCTACAGCTCTCCACAACAAAGAATGACCTCAGAGTGTCAATTACCCAAGATGTCAACAGCTAAAGAAAACCAAACATTGAGGTACCACACGAGTCAGCACTGATACTCCCAGGGGTATACCCAAGAGAAATAAAAAGGTATGTCTAGCCTGGCCCAGCCCCATGGCTCAGTGGTTGAGTGTTGACCTATGAGCCAGGAGGTCACGGTTCGATTCCCAGTGGAGGCACATTCCCTGGGTTGCGGGCTCCATCCCCAGTGTGGGGCGTGCAGGAGGCAGCCAATCAATGATTCTCTCTCATCATTGATGTTTCTATCTTTCTCTCCCTCTTCCTCTCTCTCTAAAAATAAAATAAAAACATATTTTTAAAAAATATGTAACAGTGCCCAGGTTGAGAAATTCTGTTCTGAAAAAGAATGTGTCGCTGGAACACAGGCAAGCAGAGCGGTGAGGGGGCTGCTAGGGGGGCCGCTGCTTCTCCTGACTCCATCCACCTCCAAAGCCCTTGGGGGCTTGGTCCAGCCAGACGACACCAGGGCCCAGGGCCCACCTCAGGGAACAGGTACATGCAATCATCAGGCCTGAGCCCCATGCTGCTCAAGCACATTCTCCTTTCCTCCCCCTCAGTGTCACCCCTACATGACCTCATCGAGTCGCTGTGCTAAACCTAAAATTCACCAGAAAGAGAAAAGCAGGTCAGAAAGAGCCAACCGCACTGTGGACAGCACCGGGCAGGGAGGGAAGGGAACTTACATCACGGTTGGCAGTAACATTGTGTAACGTGTGTACACCCCGCTTCCGCAATGCCCATCCCACGGCCCTTCCAGTGGCTCTGGGTGGTGGGCAAGGCCCGCCTCAAGCTCCTATCCCGGGCGAAGGCATGCAGCTCAAGGCAGGTGCCGTGTCTATGCAGAGCCTGGTCCAGAATCCCAGCTCGGTGCAAGTGGCGTGGGCTTGGCGCACGCAGCCCTTCACCTCCCCGGGCCTCAGTTTTCCCCTCTGTGACATGGAAGAGGCATGACCTCCTCAGGCTGATGCCTGACACCTGGTCCAGCTGGGCCAGGCCTCTCTCATCGCGGACCAGGCTGTGCTGCTTCTAACAGAGAATTTGAACTTGGAGGACTTGTTGCCTCGGATATCTGTAGGTAGAGCGTGGTTTCTTCTGAAGTCAACCTCCTAACGCTCTGTCCCCGGGAAGAGAGATGCTGGGGCAGGTGCGGTTCCCACAGCCAGAGCCCCGGGAAGGCAGGACGCCCTGCTGTGTGCGTGCCGTCCAGGCCTGTTGCGCAGGGAGCTCCCAGGTGTACCGGTACTTTGTTACCTGGGGCATAGGCCTGTGCTGTACCCCACATTGGTGCTCTGGGGGCACTGTCCTACGATGCCTGGAGTCCCGGGGAAAGCACGAGTTCTGTGGTTAGAAGGTTCCGGGCTCCTGCTGCCTCCTTCTCTAGGTTCTGGGAGAATCCTGACTGCTGTCTGGACCCCTGTTCTCTCCCCGCCACCCCGAGCCTTTTCCTCCACCCCCGATGCTGGCTGCATGGGGGTAGCCATGTGCCTGAGCGAGAAACCATGTGCCCCACCAAGAGGAAAGCCACCAAGAACCACTGAAGCCCAGGCGTGTCCCCTCCCCCACTCCCAGCTGACCCCGGGGCCTCCTTCCCCCTCCTCCTCACCCTCCCTGGGCATCCAGATCCTTTGGATCATCTGATGGCCCATGAGGTTGATGCTCTGACAAGTTTTACCTTTGACCCTCTCACCGACTGACTGACTGACCGACGTGTGAAATGCTCAGATCCGTGGTGGCAAACTGCGGCTCGAGAGCCACATGCGGCTCTTTGGCCCCTGGAGTGTGGCTCTTCCACAAAATACCACGTGGGGGCGACCATACAGTGCGATTGAAACTTCGTGGCCCATGCGCAGAAGTCGGTTTTCGGCCTGGGCGAGTCTATTTTGAAGAAGTACTGTTGATATTTGGCTCTGATGACTAATGAGTCTGCCGACCACTGGCTCAGACTGTCCGCTTCTGGGGAAGTGAAGAGGCGTTTGGCCAGCTGATAGCCCACAGGTGACCTTGATCTTGATTTCCTTCATGGAGTGCTGGGTGGTCAGGCACCCTTGTCAATGAAAGCTCCCTGCTCCTCCGTAACCACCATCCCTTCGCTTCTCTCGCCTCCCACTCCACCCGCCGCACTCAGTGCCGAGAGGAAGCCAGGGTCCTGCTCTGGCTGTTAAGCAGTTAATGTCGGGCTGTGACGGGGAAACTCGGCTTCATACACAGTGAGGGCATCGCAGCGACCCCCCACTCCGCACTCCGCCAGCCTGTGCAACTAGCAGAGGGTGGCTAGTTGTGCTCCCTGCAGGTCTGCCCTTGACCTGGGGGACCCGGGTGGTGACAGAAGCATGTTGTGGGTTCATTCGCCACCAGTGGCCCAGGTTAGTAGCAGAGGGGACGAGGGATAAGCCAGAGAGCTGGCAACAAAGAACTTGCGGCCGGTGAGAATCCGCACGGGGAAGCCTCAGGGGCAACAAGGCAGCCTGAGGGCGGGTGGGGTGGCAAGGGCCTTTATAAAGAACTTGCTTCTAGCCCGGCCAGTGTGGCTCAGTGGTTGAGCGTTGACCTGTGACTCAGAAGGTCACGGGTTCGATTCCCCATCAGGGCACATGCCCAGGTTGTGGGCTCCATCTCCAGGGTGGGACTTGCAGGAGGCAGCCGATCAATGATTCTCTCATTGATGTTTCTATCTCTCTCTTCCTCTCCTTTTCTCTCTGAAATCAGTAAAAATCTATATTTTTTAAAAAGAGCTTGCTTCTAATAGGATTAATTTCTTCAAGAATTTTCCCTTGGGGGTTTCCTCTAGTAATAGGTCGATAGGTGTTGATAAACGTTTTAAAGCATTTTCCGGAAAATAAGCGTTTGCTCTGATCCTGGGAGGGAGAAAGCACGGAAGGGCCACCGGCCACTGTTGGTCGAGGACGAGGACACGCCTACAATGGCCTCCAAGGAGCCGGTGGGCGGAGGGGAGTTCATGTGGGACCAGCCCTGTCTGAGCCCAGATCTGTTCCCCCAGCCCCGGGCGGGCTGGCTGTGCTTTCCCCTGGCAGCGGAAGTCCGGGCGGGGAATCCAGACATCGGGAAGAGGAGTTGGGTATGAAATAAGGGAACTCAAGGTTGGGGAGAAATTGAGGTTTTGGGGGGTTTATTTTTTCTCAGCACAGTGTCATCCAAGGGGTGGGTGGGAGGGGCATTGCAAAGCTGAGGAGGAGTTTGGGGGTCCTTTCCTCTGTTTCAGGCTGTCCCTTACCAGCTGCACTGACCTGGAGAAAACAATTCCTTCCGCATTGTCCCAGCAGCTGGAGCGGATAAAACCAGCTGAGGGCCAGGGTGTGTGATTCCAGACATGGCCACAGGGGGGAGACATAGGGTTGTCCAATCCCTACGTCTTGCTCCAAGGCTGAGCCCAAACAGTAGACTTGCTGGGGTGTACGGCTTAAAAAACGAGCAGACCTAGGCGTGAGGTCACTTCTAAACCCTGGCTAAGTCAGCCCCGGGTCATCTCACTAAAGGTCTTGGGCGAGTTTAGAAGTAACTTCCACCTCCTTGGACCAGCTGTGAACAGACTGATGATTAACCAACATCACTTCACCTGCAAGTACTTGTCACGCTGGCCCTCGGTGCCCCGCATAGTGCTGGGTTGTGATGAGGAATCCAGATTGTAACACGAAGGCAACACACACAACCCAGGGAGGACTCCATCCAACACCAGCACACACACCGCAAGCAACCCACTCACAGATGCTTCCGGAAAAAGCTTTTTAGATATAGATATAGATACAGATATAGATATAGATATGGATATGGATATGGATATGGATATGGATATGGATATGGGTATGGGTATGGATATGGATAGAGATAGAGATGATATAGATATAGATATAGATGATATAGATAGATATAGATATAGATGATATAGATATAGATGATATAGATATAGATATAGATATAGATATAGATAATATAGATATAGATAGATATAGAGATAGAGATATAAATATAGATATAGATACAGATACAGATATAGATATAAGTATAGGTATAGGTATGGGTATAGATAGATATAGATATAGATATATATAGATATATAGATATAGATACAGATACAGATATACAGATACAGATATACAGATACAGATACAGATGTAGATATAATAACAAAACAAATGTGGAACATGTTTTTTAAAATTGGGTGAATCTGAATAATCCCCCCCACACACTTTGTCATCGATTTTTTCTAACTCTAACCCTTTGACTTCCCTCCCACAAAGCCCCTTGTGATTTCACGGGCCACCTGGGGAATCCGATACCCCCATTCTGTGTGTGTGTGTGTGTGTGTGTGTCTGTGTGTGTGTGTGTGTGTATTTCCCCTTTTGCATCTCAGAACAGCAGCAAAGAGAGAGGAAGTACTGGGATGGCTCCCATGCACAGATCACGAAAATCTGAAGAAGACACCAGCAGATGTGTCCGTCCGCCCTCGGGAAAAACCTGCTGAAAGCGATGGGCCCACCGCCCCGAGAAAAGTGCTCAAAGGCTCAAGTTGATGGTGACGGCAGCATCACCACGGCCCCCAGGGTCAGGGGCCGGGCCTCCCTTTGACTTACGGGACATACTGACATACACTCCTCGCTTTTAACTCTTACTTACTTAACATGGGTCCCAACGTTGTGAAGAGTAGAAACAAAAGCCCTGAGACTTTGCACAGCGGAGAGGGCGGCAGGCAAGGCTCTGAGGGCCGGGACTGCGTGCAGCAAGTCTGACCCCCTGACGTGGAGCGAACGAGGGGTGGCTGCCCCTGTCCCGCCCAGTGCTGACCTCTGCGATGTCCCCACCCCTGGGGCCCCTCCAGCCTCTCTGCTCCTCTGGGATCCAGGGCAGGAGCTTTCTTCAATGCGGAGCAGAGGCCAGCAGGCATCGTTCCAATAACGCCTCTTCTCTCAAGATGTTGTCACCTTTATTGCTGTCTCTTGTATTAAACTCAACCTCTCAGGGTCCAGGGGAGCCGAGGACATGCCCGCTGCTGGGTCTGGGCCAGGGCAGCCTCTCCTCCAGCCTCCGCCTCCTCGCCTGGAGAAGAGGGGCCTGCTCTCAGCCCTGAGGGGCTCCCCGCTCTCTGCCGGTTCTCCCTCCCCGCCAGCTCGACACTGGCAGGGCCTTATGAAGCTACTGGGAGGGGACAGTGTGTGCACCTCCCTGTCCTGGATCCCTCCCTCGGGGCTGAGCGCCATCACACGGCTGGAGTGAGGCAGAGAATAGAGGGAAGGTGTGACAGAGCCGGCCCCATGGGAGGGTACCCCACAGGTCCCAGCGCCAGAGGGACAGGTGGCGGGAGCCCAGCCGCCTTGTTGGAGGGGAGCAGGCTGAGGGGCACGTGGGGGAAGGGGGGGCCCTGGGCTCCCCACAGAGACCTCCAGGCAGGGAGGCGGGAGGCCAGCTACGTCCTGATCGCGCTGTACTCTGGCTCCTGCCGTGTCTCCCTGATCGCGCTGTACTCTGGCTCCTGCCGTGTCTTCCTGATCTCGCTGTACTCTGGCTCCTGCCGCGGGGGCCTCTGGGAGGGACTCTGGTCCTCAGGATCCTGATTCTGCGCGGTGAATACCACCATGGAGTAGTGCAGGTCTTCCCTGGGGGCCTGCTGCGGAGAGAGGCCTGGGCTCAGGGGGAGGTGGGGAACCACTGACCCCCAGCATAGGATGGGGGCACCCGAGGGGGCCATGGGAGGCTCCACCAGGGGCCTCAGCCTTCCCCACTGTCCTCCCTTCTTTCCCCTAAAAGGACTGGGCTCCGAGATCCTGCCCCCACCGTCTCCACGCCCCCCCTCCCCCCCTCCAAGCCAAGCACGGAGCCCAGGCTCAGGGCCGGGGTCCCTGGGACCCACCCTGAGAGCATCAGTCACCGAGTTAGGAAAACAGGGTGCCGTAGTCCCGGGGCCACGTGCCTGAGGCCTAAATCTCTCCCCATCTTCCCCACCGAGGGGTCCTCTGCCCAACTTCTTCCACTAAAGGGGGTCAGTTGGGGGGCCCTGGGGGACTTCCTCCTCCAGTTCACGTATCAGCGGCTCTGCCTAAGGATCGACCTGCAGCGGGTCCTTGATAAGAACTGAAAGCAGAGCTGATACCAAAGAGATGATGGGACCAAAACAGTGAGAGCTCACAGGCCTGGACACCGGGCCCACGGCACACAGCAGGTGCTTAATAAAAGCTGTGCTGTATTCGCAACCAGGACCGTAGTCACTGGCTGTTCCCAGCCCCTCCATCTCCCAGCCCCTCCCCCACACCGGCCCTGTTTTCTGTGTGGCTCAGTCTTTTGTTGTTGTTGTTAATCCGCACCCGAGGATATTTTCCCATTGGTTTTTAGGGAGAGAGGAAGAGGGAGGGAGACACAGACAGAAACATTGATGTGGGAGAAGCACATCCATTGGTTGCCTTTTCCACGAGCCCCGACCAGGGCCTGGGTTGGGGAGGAAGCTGCAACCAAGGTATGTGCCCTTGACCGAATCGAACCAGGGACCCGTCAGTCCGCAGGCTAATGCTCTATCCACTGAGCAACACGGGCCAGGGCTGGTAGCTCCGCCTTAAAAAGACACGAGGTCACCGGCCAGCCCTCACTTCCCTCTCTGCCCGCGTCCGCCCCCAGGTGGTGCCTCTGGCATAGCCCGGGTGCCCTGCCAGGAGTGGGCCGGGTACTCACCACGGTGCTGTATTCCACCTCCTCTTGCCTCGGGTGCACGGGCTCTCCCTGAAGGGGCCTCGTCTGCAGCTCCAGGTTGGCGTAGCAGGGCTCACTCTGCGGGGCGGCCTGGGGTGGGCAGGAGGCGCGGGGCTGGGCGGCTGGCCGCGGAGCGCCCGGGGTCCATCCCAGAGAGGCCCTGCGCCTGCTTCTCCGCAGACATCTCCTCCCCTCACGCTCGGGGCCCAGCTGCCTGCCCGGCCTCCCGCCCCCACGCTGGTCCTCTCCAGGCAATGCTTGCTCCCCAGGTCCAAGGCCAGGCTGGACGAGCCTCCCTCATTCCCCTTTCCCTGGAGTGGGGGGCAGACTGGCCAGGCTCCCAGGCGTGGTTCTTCCTGCTCTGGACGAGCACCCCTATCCTTGCATCGATGGTCCCCCCAGACCTCCACTAGCCCACAGGACGGCCCAGCCCCCACCCCCTGTGCGCCCCGCCACCCGCCACCTCTCCTGGTGGCCTTTCTTTCTTTGTTGTTAGTTCTCACCCGAGGATATTTTCCCATTGCTTTTTGGAGAGAGGGAAAGACAGAGAGAAACATCGATGTGAGAGAGACACATCGATTGGTTGGCTCCTGCACGCGGCCCTGCGCCCCGACCAGGGCCCAGACCGGGGAGGAGCCCCTAACTAAGGTACATGGCCTTGATCAGAATCGAACCCGGGACCCTTTGGTCCTTAGGCCGACACTCTATCCACTGAGCCAACCCAGCCAGGACTGGTGGCCTTTCTTACCTGAAAGGGGTTCTGGAGTGGCTCCGGATTCCCACCAGCTACAGAGACAAGGGGGAGGGGGGGTTTGTCCCAGAACAAGGCAGGCTTGTCCCACGATCCATCTGGAGAAAGGCCTTTGCCTACAGACCTCAGCCCTGGGGACCCGTTGCCTCAGATCCGCAGCCGGCTGGACTCAAGGGTTGTGGAGGGGAATGCGACTGAGGGGATGAGTGGATGAGTGAATGAACAAGCAGGTGTGAACACATTCGGTGCCAGGTGCTGCATGCAGGCTCCACGCCACCCTCCCCCTCGGCGGGGACAGGCTGTCTGATGGGGGAGGGGGGCAGAAAGGGCGGGAGGAGGGAGAGATGGGAGCACCGCCGGGACGGAAGGCCGCACTGAGGGAGCTCGGGGGTAACCCACTCCACCCTCGTAACACAGTGACCCGGCCCAGCACAGGGCCTGGCGCACAGTAGGTGCTCAGGACAGCTTTGCCGTGTGTGAGTGTGTGAGGGAGTGAGTGTGTGTGAGAGAGAGTGTGTGAATAAGTGTGTGAGTGAGTCTGTGAATGAGTAAGTGTGTGAGTGAATGAGTGAGTGAAAGAGTGTGAGAGTGAGTCTGTGTGTATGTGAATGAGTGTGTGAGAGAGTGTGTGAATGTGTGAGTGTGTGAGTGTGTTGGAGAGTGTGTGAATGTGTGTGAGAGAGTGTGTGAATGAATGTGAGTGTGTGAATGAGTATGTGTGTCTGTGAGTGAGTGTGTGAATATGTGTGCATGTGTGTGAGTGAGTGTGTGAATGTGTGCGCATGTGTGTGAGTGAGTGTGTGAATGCACCAATGAATGAATGAGTGCAATAGGCTTAGAAGAGGAATAATATGACATTTTAAGAAACATGTGCACAAACAGGCATCGAGAAAAGACTGGAAGGAACACCCCAAACGTGGGTGGTTTCTCTTCTCTGGGTGGAGGGAGTTTCAGTTTCTGTTTCTGATGGGAACTTATTTCCTCCTCTGGGCTGTTACTTACCTTTGGATTTTCTACAACAATCATAGATCCCTTTTTTTAAAGAACTTTTCTAGGTGAAAGGGCATTGCTGGGGATCGCTGACACCACAGATCTGAGACAGTCCAGGCTGGGAACCCCCCCCCTTTGTCGCGCCCCCCCCCCAGGGAAGAGGAAGTGGCTGACACCCATTCCACTCCTAAAGGCCCGGCCGTGCTGCGGGAGAGGCTGGACCCATGGGCGGGTGGACGGGCCGGAAGTTAGAAGGAAGTGTCCCCCCACCTTGTCCCCAGCCAGGTCCCTGTTCCAAGTAACCCCGGCAGCCTGGAAGAGAGCATCACCTCCCCCTCCCCCCAC